CTTCTCCTCTCCTCCCCTCCCCTCCCCTCACTTCCCCTCACTTCCCCTCCCTTCCTTTCCTCCTTACTTCTTTCCTTTCTTCACAGCCAAGGTTTTGCTATGTAGTTCTGGCTGGCCTTGAACTCACTTTGTAGCCTAGGCTTGCCTTGAATTTGCAGCAATCCTCCAACCTGCCTTTCTGAGTGCTAGGATTGCAGGCGTACACCACCACACCCAGCTCCGTAGCCACTTTTTCCCCTTAGCCTTTTGTAACCAGCATTTCCTCTGACTCTGCCAGGATATTTGCCAGAGCTCCCGTGTGTTGGCTGATCACTATTTATGGATGCTAGTGTCTCCAGCTCTGGAGTTGGGCCCTCAGGAAACTTTGTCTAGGTTGCTGCCTTATAGGGTCCATTGCACTCCTTACAGGCTCTCCTTAGACTGAATCCCAGCTCTCCTTTATGTAGCTACAGTTTGGGGTTGTGCTTGCTGCTGCTGAACAGGCTAGGAACCATGACTTGTCTTGCTGTGTTGCAGGTGAATTTGGAAGGCAAAGCCAGTCCTCTGTCACTCCTGCAAATGGCCTTGCCAAGTGGCCTCTGCGTCTTGGTTCGCTTGCCTAGGCTGACCTCCGGAGGCAAGACACTACCAAGAACTTTACTGGATATTTTGGCAGATGGCACCATTTTAAAAGTTGGAGTGGGATGTTCAGATGATGCCAGCAAGCTTCTGCAGGATTATGGCCTCATCGTTAGAGGATGCCTAGACCTTCGATACTTGGCTGTGCGGCAAAGGTATGGTTTATATGAATGTTGGAATTCCTATAACTTTGAGCAAAACATATTAGCAAGATTTGTGTATTACTGGAAAGTAGTAATGAAATATTTGAAATGCATTACATTGAATCTGTGAGGAAATGTTACAATTTAATTACTTAGATTTTTTTTTTTTTTTTGAGACAGAATCATATTAATGTAATCCAGGCTGGCCTTGAGCTCATTATGTAGCCCAGACTGCCTTCAAACTTGAGATTTTTCTGTGTCGGGCTCCCATAGCTGCACACTTGACTGGTTCTTTTTTTTTTCTTGAGACAGTCTTGCTATGCAGTTCAGGCTGGCTTTGAACTTCTGGCAATCCTCCTGCCTCAGCCTCCTGAGTGCTGGGATTATAGGCGTGCACCACCATGCCGAGCCTGGTGGTTTTTTCTGATGAAACATCAGTAAGGTATCACTGTACGTTACAGGTTATAAGCTAATGATCCCACTGGCTAAACTAGGACTGCAGATTTTTTTGTTTTTGTTTTTCTGTATGAAAATCCTGCTTAAACCCAAAATTTATTGAAGGATCTATATTGTTTGCTTTTGAAAAATTAGATGATCTGACTCTACTGATTGAGAGTTGTAGATGACAGCAGTGACCCAGGTACTGTGTGTCTGCTTTAGATGAATGTGTTTGATTTAATTAGCAATGAGCCCACCACTCTCATTGCAGCCCTGGCTCATCTCAATGAGGAACTTTTGCAAATCTTGCCACCAGCCAGAAATGATGATACACCTGACCCTTGTCTTTTTTTTTTTTTTTTTTTGTAATAGTGCCATTTGCTTTATGGTTCTTT